GGGGAGGGGAGGGGGAGGGGGCAGGCGGGGGGGGGGCCCAGGGAGGGGGGGAGGACGGGGGCGGCAGGGCAGGGGGCGGGCCGGTGGGGAGGGCAGGGAGGCGGGGGACGGGAGGGGAACGGGAGGGGGAGGGGGAGGGCCCGGGCCGAGGCGCTGGGCCCCGGTCACCGGGGGCGGCGTCTTGGGCCTCGGGGCCGGGGCGGCTCCCGCGTCCCCCGTGTGCTCTCCGCGCTCTCCTCGGGCCTCCAGCGCTCCTGCTCCCGCCTGAGGGGGTGAATCCGGCCGAGGGCCTCCGTGAAATGAAACGTCAGAAAAATACTTGGTTGTGAGAAGCTGGGGTTTGTGAGAAAGGACCCACGCTCTACCGTTGGTTACAACTTAAAATCCAGGCCGGATGACCTTTCACATAACATTGTTTAAAAAAGAAAGCAGGCAGGTGACGTGTCAGCCGGTTGGGCCCGACAGAGGACAAGGAAGCCTGGGGGCGGGAGACAGGACACCTGAGCTGTCCCCAGCAAGGAAGGGGCGGGGGTCTGGCTGCGCCTGCTAGCCTCCGGCCTCATTGCTGCGTCCCCGGCAGGAGCAGGGCTCCCCGGACTCCGGGGCCCAGTGTGGGCGCCTTAGAACACCTTCCCCCGTGTGGCCCCTCCAGCTCGGCGCAGCGGAGGCGGCACCCTCACCCGCCTGTGTCCTGTCAGCTCTGTGACCCCTGAGAGCTTCTGCCCCTCCCGGTGGGAACTGCCCCTGGGGGCCCACTGAGTCCTGCCGGGAGCCAGTAGACCAGGGCCGGCGCGCACCCACATTGTCCCCACCTGGCGTTTGTCCCAAAGGATGTAAATCAATGACCAGGTTTACAGCCATCCCTGCCGGGGCAGAGTCTTCACTGCCCCAAACTAAGATTAAGTGCAGATCATTCTACGAACTAACAGTGAAAGCAAAGCCAAACTTCTGCTTTAGATTTTTTAAGCATCACTTCAAATGTAATTTTTCCTAAACCTGCACCTGTATTTGCAAAGTCTGTTGTACAGGTTGAAACTCTTAGGTCAGATGAGTAAAAATGCTGCCTTATTTGCAGTGGGATAAAGGCAGTCTGGGAATTTGTTCCCAAGGACCTAATGTTCTCCAAAGGTTGGCATATTAGGAATAGTTTATTTTAAACAAGTTGGTAAGAAGTCTCATGGTAGCTACCAGGATACCTGTAGGCTTTAGAGCCGGCACTTCCTCCGTAGGTGGCAGGAGGAAGAGGTAAGGGGTCACACGCGGTGCCTCATGCCTCCACAGCACATGGTATCAGAACTGGGCTTGGCTGCCCTGTCTTGCTTCCCATACATCTCTTGCTGCCAGAAACTTGCTTTTTACTGCCTTTCCCCTAATAAGAATTTGGCTATCATCTGCCTTTTGCAAACATTCAGAGCACCAAGAGGCACTTCAGAAATGCAGAGTTGAGGCTGGGTGAGGGCCTGAGATTAATCCCTTCTTCACAGGTGAGAAGATTCTCAGCAGAGAGACCAGGCCCCAGGGACTGACCCCTGGTCACACCAGAGGGACAGAGGGAGGACTTGGGGTGGACTGAAAATATGAACAAAGTCACGGGCATGTGAGGGAAGGCACAGAAAACTCCAGCTTCTGGCTCACCAAATGACATTTTTCTTGTAGTTCCTACTTGTGCAGACTAACTGGTGGATACCGGTTGTATTCAGAAGAGTTGGTGCCAATTCCAAGGCCTTCAAATTTAGAAACTGCCCGACAGGCTCTTAAGATGCCAGTGTGGGGGCAAAGATGGAGTGAGGTCTGGGTGCTGGGCCCCAGACTCATAATGTGTCTTCTTCGAGTGTGACAGGGAAGGGTGAGTTCGAGCTCTGACACCAGCCGGGCGTCCCCAGCAGCCTGCACTGCAAGACCTCCAAACGTGCTTTCCCGGTTTCCTGGTGGGGTGAACCCCAACAGAGCTCCAGCGGGACCTGCCAGGACAGTGGGCCTGCCGAGAGGCCAGGGGCTGCCGGGCGCTGGGGAAGACAGTGTGCTCAGCCTGCAGGAGACTGGCTGCCCGTGGGGCCAGAGCCCCTGGATAGTAAATATGTTTTCAAGGGCGCTGCCTGACGATGTGTGGCATGAGCTGGTCTGGTCTCTTCTCACGTTGTAAGGTGGCTTGGGACTGGCTGTGTTGGTTTAATGGCTCATCAAGGGGTTGCAGACCATACTTTCTAAGCAAAGTAACCTACAGGACGTGGGCTTGGTGTGGACATGGTCACGTCAATTCATTTTCAGCATTCCCTTAAGTTCCTGGAATTCAGAGCTGTTGAGATTCTGTTGCCACAGCAGGGTCTCTGGCTCATTCTTTTATCCCCTCCACATGGATGACCACTGGGTACAGGGTCAGGGTGTCCCAGACCCCATTGCTGTCCCCACAGCCACAAGCAGGGGTCGGCCCGTGGGTGACTGTGAAATCCGAACAGCACCTTGAGGGGAGAGCCCAGTAGTGCCATCTTTCCTTTCTCCTCCAAGGGCTCTCGGCTCTCCCTTGGAGCACTGACTCCCAGCTCAGCCATTCTCTCTGGGAGTGACCCCACCCCTACTGGGCATAGGGGCAAAGTGCTGTCACAAGGAGGATCACCGGTGTTCCACAGAGACCTGAAATCATGTCCCGTGAAGGAGCGATTGGACAGCGCTATACGGCGCACAGGGAGAATCAAGACCCCACTCAGCACCTTGCCCATAAAGCACACAATGAATGTTTCTTGAGGAATAACTAATGGATGGAAGCCATTGTTCTGCCAATCTGCATTGTTCTAATATGGACCAGGTTATCAGGAACTGTGGAGAGAGAAGGAGAATCCCATTAACTAAGCATTTTCCAAGTGCCAGGCACTTTAAGAATAGTATCTCATGAAAGCCTGGCACACATGACTGACCTGAAGCCAGAGTCGGGACTCATTCACTGGACTGGCTGTAGGAAGTAATGAGGTTCCCATTAGAGTTTGCATTCAATTAACAGCTGAGCAAACATCTGGAGTGGATTTGATGCAAGCATTTGAGTATCACATAGAATATTTGTCTTGGCCTGGGTGCCCAGAGAGCAGAGCCTGAGTCGGGGCCTTTGCAGTGAGGGATTTTGTTCCCAGGAAGCTGGGAGCAGGGGAGTGAGGCAGGGAAGGAGAGGCAGCCAGGACCAGTGTGCTCTGTTGATGGGGTCCCCACTATGGGCAGCTGGAACTGGCCCCACGAACCTTCCCAGCACTCTGGAGAAGTGTCCCTCAGAGCGCAAAGGGGAGAAGCCTTTACCCTTGGTCTTGTCATCTGGGGTCACCTCTTGGTTGGCATTTACTCCCCTGCACTTCTGGATGGTGGTGGATCCCACAGGTGTCCCCTGAGGTGCCTGGCACACAGTAGGCCAGGTGAGGTCTGCCCAGAACTGTGTGCACTGGAACCCGGTTTAGGACCCTGAGGATGACAAGGGCTGAGCAAGAGGCAAGAGGAAGTGACACAAAGTTGGAAAGGCAGAAGGAAACTTAAAATAGGGCCTCCACCTGCCACCAGCAATGGTTCTGGAATGATTTCAGCCATCTGCTCTCCAGGTTCTGGATAACTCACAGGTGGGTGGCAGGTGCCTGTGGAAGGTATATGCACAGCACGGGTGTCAGTGCTTGAGCACCCTGAGGCCAAGACTCAGACAGTGTCCCGTGAAAGGCCAGGAGAGGCCAGTTAGGCATCTTCCTCCTAAGTTTTAATAGGAAGGTGTCATCTGTGGGAGAAAGGGCTTAGTTAAATTCATAGGACTTGGAATAGTAGGGAAGCCAGAGGTTTCGGGGTGACTTCAGCACTTCAAGTGAGGCCTTATGGAAAGCTGCTGATGTCACTGACAAAGTCAGGAGCCGCCGGGGGCCTGGCAGGGTGTCAGCCAGGAGCCTCCCTCAGCCTGCCTCAGCACCTGTCCCCAGCAGCTCACGTAGGCGAGGGCTGCACGGGCTCTGACACCCATCAAGTCCTTTATAGCTAGAACAAAGCTCGGGGCACTATTGCAATGTTCTTCTATCCACAGCCATGCCGGCCCATGGGAGAGGGCATGTTCACGCAGTGGCCAGGCATGTGGAGCAAAGCCAGCGGTTTGGGGCCACACCAGACTGTTTCTGGGTTTTGCTACTTCCTGGCCGAGTGGCCCTGGGCATGTCTCAGCCACTGTGCCTGTGTGAGCATCCACTTCTCATTGCCTTGTTCTAGTCCACACTTGGTGGGAGGCACAGCCTTGGCTGTGGCCAACAGAGCCAATGCCTGCCCTGCACACCTGCCATGCCTCCTGAGTGTTCCACACCAGGAGCCAGCCCTGGGAGACTCCCAGCCCTGGCAGCCACAGAACCCCCACCTGTGGACCCCCACCTGCAGAACCTCCTGCCGAGCACCATGCCTACTGCGCACCCCACCACTTCCCACCATAACCCTCCTCCTCCAACCAGCTCATGGCCTTGTCGGCCGTGGGGCACATCCTTCTCTGGGTCTCCTGCTTCCTGCCCCTCCTCCATGTAGCCCCTTTCCTGCCCTTTCCTGAGCGGGTCCCACCAGCTCTACCACCAGCTGGTCCCACCCTGATCCACTTCCTTCCCACCCTGAAGCTAATTCCTACTTGTCCTTCAACGCTGAGCTTGGGATCACCTCCCTGTGTCCTTCTCCAGTGCCCTATGGCCCCTGAACAGATAGCACCATCATAACACATCCCAGAGTCCTCCTTTCATTTCTGGGGACTGTAGGCTCCTGGGGAGGGGGCAGGT